CCTGAACAGAGAGAAACCCTGAGCTCAAAGCCTATCCCCCCTTACATCCCAATCCTCCTTCAGCAGCTGTACCCTGCCCCCCCCCCCCAGGATTTCCTAAACACGGAGTGACCATCTCCAGTCGTAGCCCCACAGCCTGGCCGACAGCTGAGTTCTTCAGGTCTCCCAGGGGCTGGGGGAGGCCCATTCACACTGCTTCCATGAGGTCCATCTAGGGATGATCTGTAAAGGGACACATTTAAGAGAGCATCATGGGAAGGCTGGTTGTCCTGAATCATTCATCCAATGTCCAGAGACCAGGGCTGGGAGTGATGCTTTCTCCTCACTCGGGAGTATGAGAATTGATGGAAGGAAAACTCCTTACTTCAGTGAGGCAGCAGATTGTGTCACATTTGTTATCTTCTGGACAAACTGATATTGACCTCACCATTACCAACCACGGTACTGCTGGCGTGAGTAAAAATGGAGAAAAAAAATGAGTGTAGTAGATATGCCCACCACTGTACCTGCTTCAGGTCAGCCCTCAGCCAGACTGTTCTCTTTTAAACAAGTAAAGCTCAATCTCCTCTCCACCCCCCTGCCCTGCAGGATTGACACAGCCAAGTCATGACCTGGAGTGAATCTGGCAATTCTCTTATTAATTCTAATGTTACTCATTGATTCTTTAGAGTTTCTGTGTATGTAATCTTGTCATCTGAAAATGAAGGCAGTTTTGTTTTTCCCTTTACAATCCTTTTTTTATTCATGTTTGTATCCTTAATGCCTAGGTTAGACTTCCAGCAGAATATTTAATAAAGTGAAGATGCTGGCATCTTGTCTTGCTGTTGATTTTTATTTTTCTTTGTATTTTCTAAGTGTCTATTTTCGATATGGAAGAAATTTCCTGGCTGTCATGTAAATTACGATGCTTCTATGCTTTTTTTTATATGTCTAGTGTTTTTGATGGGCTCACAGATATTCCAATTATCATTTTCAGGTGATATGACAATGTTGTCACTTCAGACCTCCTGCATATTATTAAATGGTAACATTGCTCATGGTATTTAAACTTATTTCTCAGTTTAAAGGGATTACTACATCTTTAAGCTGATGGTGGCTGATTCTCAAAATATTATATGTAATGGAACACAACATAATCTAAATTTTATATATGACATTTAGCAAATATTAAACCAATATGTTTAAAATTTTTACTTTAAACCTTGTTTGCTATAAATTTTTTAAAAAGGTAAGTATTGTTTGAAACAAATAACCATCAGCCTCTTAAAAACTACTAATATTTGTAGAGAAGGAGACTTTTCCAAAGCAATGCTCCAGGCAGAGGACTCAAGAAGGGCAATTTATTTAAGAAAAGTCCCAAAGTACAAGGAGACAGACACAACAGAGGCAGGACAGATGTCTCCCCTCTCTTCCTCCTTGGGGAGGGCAAGTTTGAACACATCCAGATGGTAGACACAGTCAGCGATCGACAGACTCAAGCTGCACTTCCCATGAAATTTTTCAGTGAAATTGCAAAGAATAAGAGCATCGTACCCTGACACTTAAAGATAGAAAGCAGAGACCTGAGATTCTAGAGGACACCACTTAGATGCAGAGATACCACGAAGATTCAAGAACCACATCTCTGTCTCCCCGACCTCCTCACAACATCAGTTCTTAAAAATCCAGCACAGAACCATCCACCCAGATGTCATGTTGGAGAGAGCATGGAAGATGAGACAGCTGAGAGACTGAGAATTTTATTTACCTGCGGGAACTGTTTAAATGCTTTCATTGGTCCAAGTATTGCAGATTTTACTAATCTAAACTTCAGTTTGCTTCTTTAAAATTGCCACTACTCAGGAGATGGGGACTTAGGAGCGAAAGCAGGTAACATAGGTAAAACATCTCTTTCCACCGACAGCTGAGCACAGTGGAAGTACACGGGCATGTGTATGAGGTTCAGGAGATGTCTTTTATGTATGCTTAATTTATTTAAAATCAAGAATGGTTGATGAATTTAATGCCTTTTCAGCATATAACCAGATGATTTTATTTTTGTGTGTTTTAGCTAATAACACAGTGAGTCATATCACAGGTTTCTCAGCCATCCGAACCGTTCTCGCATGACGTCCTAACACATCTGACACTTGCCCTCCTGCAGAACCCATTCCACCTCCCTCCTGGACACCGGATGATTAGCAGTGGAGGTCACAGCATGGGCACCGTGAAGACTGTCCTGCTGAGAGATAAAAGGAATTATCTATTTGGGGAGTTTCAGGACATGGTTCATGTGTCCTGGCAGACACGGAGATCATGTGACCTGAGCAATTGTACACTGCAAAAAGGGGAATATCCAGATATTTCAAGGCTGTGGGAGACAGGATCTGAGCTAACTTCGATACCAAGAAACCCGGACTGTCATTGCGGCCCCTCATGAGAGTGAGGACATATAGAACCTCCCCTTTAATGTTAGTGTTAAGGCCCAGGTCCATCTCAAAGTGCAGTCTAATAGGTAAGTGGACCTGCCATGGTCACGACCCTGTGCCCGAGAATGTCAGGACACATATGAAGTGAGGTGGGCGGACCTCCCTGGATAGTCCAAGTGACCTTGATGCATCTATTTAATTTGCAATCTGTAAGGCTTATTCTATTTTAGTGACTGTGGCTCACACTCTGACGACTATAACCCATCTGAAATCCTTTTCTCCTGAGAATGCCTGAATTTCGAGGCAGATCTTAGAAGACAACTCTTCCTGTCTCAGGATGCAGTCCCTCCCTCTGACTGCAGGCCCATGGCCAGTGCAAGGAGTAAGAAAATAATTACAGGAGAGGAAACAGCAGGGGCGGAAAGGAGATCAGCAGCACTCACAGGGCGGAATTAATTTTTGTATCACGGCCAATGTGCCCAAGGCCCTGGTGGGCACAAATGCAGTTAAACAGAGAAGGTCATCAGGAAGATGTGTCTGAATGATAGAGAAACTTGAGTCTACAGAGAAGTCCAGAACCCTGGCATGCAGATGTGCTAGATTCATGCGTGTATGGTCTCTTGTCTGTTGGGTCCAGGACCCTTATCTGTGAGTCTTCCTTAGAGTCCTGGCCCCAAGAACAGTGTATCTCAAAGTGTGGTCCCCGGACAACCTGTGTCAGAGATGCCTAGAAGGCTCTTAACTAAAAAGTACAGGTTCTGGGAAACACTCACCATAAGGAGTCTGAATCCTGGATGAAGGCTGAAACTGCATTTTTAAATAGCCTCCACAGCTGACTCTTATTCACGCTGGTTTTTAGAACTAATGGTAGAAATGTCCTAATGGTGGAGATGGAGGGACTGTCCCCTGCCTGACACAGGAAGGTGTTCTCAAAGAGGCTCATGGGCTCCCTCACAGCACACCAAACCCTTCATGTCTCTCACGTCACCCCTGGGCGCTGCTGCGCTCACAGGTCCTCACATTTCTCCATGAGAATCCCACAATTACAAGTCAAGCCCGCCATTCCTCTGGCTTCCTGTGGCCTCAGGCAACAAGGAGTTGTGGACTAAATAAAGAGACTTCAGCTTGCCCTACTGTACCAGGGACCTCATCTATTAAGAATTCTGTAGACTTAAGAAAGCCTGTCCCTTACCTTGAAGCATAAACCTGTTCTCATTTATATTCTGCCAGTAGTGTGAAGGTTTTGTTCTGCACATTAATAAATTTTGTTATTTGATATTCGATCTGCCTTTTATGTGTGGAATAAAGTAGGAATCATGATGTGGATTTCTCCCCCTAATTATTGAGTAATCCGTTATTACCCCCTGGTCCACACCACCTTCATGACGGTTAAGTTTCCATGGGCTCACACAGCCTTCCTGCTCTCTCTTCTTTTCCCCTGGTCATGTTGGCGTGTACTTCTGCCAGTTTCTCTAAGGACACGGCCACTAATGGAGTCACTGTGCATGCACAGGGTAAACTTTACAAGTGGGACTGAGTCTCTAGCTTGAGTATTCCTGTGCCAGAAGCACAATATTTTAATTGTTATAGCTTCATTATAATTCTTAGCATTTGATGAACAAATTTCCTTGCTTAGATTTTTCCCCAATCTTCCTTGGCTTTTTTTTTTTTTTACTAAATTTTACTAAAGAGTAAACCCTCTCTCTACATATATTATTTATAACTATGAACCATGAACTATGGTGGAAATGCATTGTGTACATTACAAAACATACAAAAAAATTAACAAAGGTTGGGGGTGGCAGGAGTGGAGAGATGTTGGTCAATGGGTACAGACTTGGAGTTATGTGATGAAAAATTTCCGGAGACTTAATGTGCACATGGTGACTCTATTTAATAATAATAACGTATTGTACACTAGAAACTTGCTGAGATGGTGGCTCTTAAGTCTTTTCACCACACACGCAAAGGTAACCATGTCAGGTGATGGATGTGCTGACTTGCTTGCTATGGAAATCATTTTATAATGTATACCTGTATCAAAAGATCATGTTGCAAACCTTGAATATATGATTTTTATTTATCTATTAGACCTCAATAAAACTAAAAAGGGTTACTAATTCTAATAAAAGGCAAATGATTTTTTTTAGAAAACATTTATTCAACAAATAGTGTTGCAAGGATGTAAACTGGAACTCAAAGAAAGAAAATTGTATCCACAGTCCTGTCATCGAAATGCATCAGTGGCTTTCCTGTTTTTGGTTTTTCAGGTTTGTCCATTTCACTAATAATTGTCACATGTATACCCATAACTAAAATGATGAAGTCACCTTAGGTTAGTTCCCAGATTCAGGATGGCTACAAGAGCACTG